AAATGACACCATGGCTGCTATATTAGACTAACGCCATTATGGACGTCTTCTTGTTGAACGAGCTGTCATGGAAAGAAAAGAAAAGAAGGAATGGAGGTGATGTTATTTTACGGGGCGGGGGGGAGCCTTAGGAACAAGCATGTAACATGAGGTACTCTATAACTGTTTCTTCAAGGAATACATTATTTCTGTTGGAAAGTTGATGGGAGATGATTATATTCTTGCAGTGTTTTTCCCCTCTCACCATGTTTCTAGGTTGGTGATCAGTCCTCTGTCAATTCTCTACTGCACTCAGATATTTCAGAAAATTTTCAGATATGAGAAAGGCTGATTGCTATTTTCTATGTCATTAGAACTTTAGACCTTTCCACCTTTTCATGTTTGCATCTTTTTCTCAGTGTCTCTGTGGTGGCAGCTGTGAATGAGACCCTGCCAGGTCTCCATGGCAGGGACCTGACTGAAAGAAGGCCCAGGTCAGTGCATTTCAAATTCACCACCTCCTTTGCACAGAAAGCTTCCTTCCCACAGGCTCCCAGCAAGGACATGAAAGCAAGCCTAGTTCTCTCAGGCTCTCTTTAACTTTAATGGGTGACTGGTTGGAGGATTTCCCATCAGCCTTCCAAAAACTCTCTTAGAACTGCATTGATACCTAAAACTTCTTTTTCTTTTACACAGGAGTCAGCTTTGCATAGGGGTCTGTGAGTTCTCCCATGCTGCTTTCATGCCTGCCCCACATTCCCTCACAGGTATCTTCCATGATAAATTATCTCATATGTCCAATCCCAAAATGGATGCATCTCAGTTGGTAAAAGGTAACATACCAGGCTTGATTCTTTGCACTTAGCTTTTCTCATTTCTCTCCCACAAGCAGTCAGTAACCATGTCCTAGTGTTTTTGTGGTACCTCTTTTTCTATATATATACGGAAATAGGTACTGTTGAGGGGCACGTGCTATGTGCCAGGTCCTGTGCTAAATACTTTACCTGTACCTCATTTAATTCACACAGTAACCCTGTCAGGTAGACATTATTTCCATTTTGCCAATGAAAAGACACAAGCTTAGAGTAGTGTAAAATCTCTCCTGGTGTCATATGGCTAGTAATAGGTGGATCTGAGATTTGATTCTAGGACTATTTGACCTCAAGGCTAATGATGATGGTAGTAATATAGCAGCTGACATTGGTTCGTCTGTGTGTGGCATCTTGTTTCATTGACTGCATGAAACCTTTAAAAGAATGGCATGAAGCAAGCTCTCTCATACTTCAGGGTATGAAAGAAGAGCAAACTAAACCCAAGCACAGTGATTGAAGGACAAAATACGGATTAGAGTGGATAAAAAGAAAATAGAGAATGGAAAAAGAATAGAGGAAATTAATGAAACCAAAGTTGATTCTTCAAAGTAAAAACAAAAAAATTGACGACCATTAAATAGACTGACTAAGAAAAAAAGAGAGAAGATTAAAATTGCTAAAATCAGAAATGAAAATGGAGTCCGAGCATGGTCGGTCATCTTTTAATCGTGGAACTTTGGAAGGTCACAAAGGGAGGATTTCTTGAGGCCCGGTGTTTTGACCAGCATAGGTAACCTGGGGAGACCGTCCTTCTACAAAAAAATTTAAAAACCAATTAGCTGGGCATGGAGGTATGCATCTGTAGTCCTGGTGTCTTGGGAGGGTGAAGAAAGAGAATTTCTTGAGCCCAGGAGGTTGAGGCTGCAGTAAGCCATAATCACACCACTGTATTTCAGCCAGGGCTGGCCTACAAAGTGAGAGCTTTTCTCTCTCTCTTAAAAAAAAAAAAAAAAGAAAAGAAAAAGAAAAAAGAAAATGAAGTGAAGTGATTACTACGAATTCTAATAAAATAATGATTATGAAAGTATTGTAAAAAATTGTATGCCAATAAATTGGATAACCTAGATGAAATAGACAAATTCCTAGAAAAACACAAAAATATGAATAGAACTATAATCAGTAATAAGATTGAATCAATAAAAGCATTTGATGAAATTCAGTATTTTGTCGTAATAAAAACATTCTAAATAAGAATGGAAGGAAACCACCTCAACATAAAGGTAATGTGTGAAAAACTCAATCCTAACATCATACTCAACGGAGAAAGACTGAAAGCTTTCCCTGTATGAGCAGGAACAAGACAAGGATGCTGCTTTTGACAATTCTATTCAATGTAGTATTGAAAGGTCTAGTCAGAAAAATTAGGCAAGAATTTAAGAAAAGACATTCAAATTGGAAGAAAGGAGTAAAATTATTTCTGTTCGGAGATAACTTGAACTTATATGTAGAAAATCCTAAAGATGGAACAAACCTATTAGAATTAATAAATGAATTCAGTAACGTTGCACAATACAAAATCAACATTCAAACATCAGTTGTATTTCATCACACTAACCATGAACAATCTGAAGGGCAATTAAGAAAAAAATTTTAATTTGTATTAATATCAAAAATAATAAAATATTTAGGAATAAGTTTAACCAAAGAGGTGAAATGATTATAACTGAAGTCCGTAAAATATTGCTTAATGTTGACATCAATAAAACGAGACATTTTGTTTTCATGAATTAGAAGACTCACTATTGTCAGAAGGACAATGCCACCCAAAATGAGCTGCAGATTCAATACAATTTCTATCAGAATCTCAGTGACATTTTTGCAGTAAAAGAAAAATCTGTCCTAAAATATATATTGAATCTTATGACTCTAAAGAGACAAACAACATTGAAGAGGAAGAATGAGGCTAGAGGACTCACACTTCCTGATGTCAGCATTTACTACAAAGCCCCCGTAACCAATACAGTGTGGTACTGGCAGAAAGGAGGACTTAGAAATTAATAAGATAGAACAGAGAGCCCAGAAAGAAATACTTGCATATATGGCCAAATGATTTTCATCGAGTGTGCCAAGATCGTTCAATGGGGAAAGGACAGTGTTCTCACCGAATGATATTGGAAAAGCTGGATATCCCAGGGCAAGAATGAGTGGAACCTTTAGCTAACATCATATACAAAAATTAACCCACAATAGATCAAAGATCTAAATGTAAGAGCAAAATATACGCAACTCTTAGAAGAAAACAGGAGAAAAAACTTCATGATATTGGATTTCACAACGATTTCTTGGTTGTAACAACAAAAGCATAGGCAACAAATAAAATGGATAAATTGGACTTCATAAAAATCAAAACCTTTTATATATTGAAGAACATTATCAAGAAAGTATAAAGGCAACCCATGAAATGAGAAAAATATTTGCAAATTGTAAGTACGATAAGAAATTAATTTCCAGAATACATGAAAAACTAGAAGTCAATAACAACAAACATCCAAAAACCCAATTAAAAATTGAACAAAGGATTAAAATAGAGTTTTCTCCAAGGAAGATATGCAAATATCCAATAAGCCCATGCAGAGTTCCTCAGCGTCATGAATACGTAGAGATATGCAAATCAAAACCACAATGTGACACCACCTCACACACTTTAGGATGGCTTTGATAAACAACAATGACAGCAACATAAAACAACAAATGTTTTCAAATAAATGGAAAAATTGGAGCTCTAGTGCATTACTGATGGGAATGGGAAATGTTATAGCCACTGTAAAAATGGTGTAGCTGTTTCTCAAAAAATTAAACAATAAATTACCATTCGATCCAGCAATTCCACTTCTGGACATACTGCCTATAGAATGGAAGGAAATTTGAACAAATATTTGCACATTGATGTTCAGAGAAGCATTACTCACAATAGCCAAAAAATGGAAACAACAGAAAAGTCCATTGAAAGGTAAGTGGGTAGGGAAATGAGGTGTATCTATACATCAAAATGTTATTCAACCTTAACAAAGAATAAAATTCCAGTAAATCATGCAAACTGGATGAACTTTGAAGACATTATGCTAACTGAAATAAGCCAGACACGAAAGGATAATTATTCTATAATTCCATTTATAAAAGATAGAATAGCCAGTTATATAGAGACAGAAAGTAGAATGGTATGTGCTAAGGGATAGGGGGAGAAGAAGTGAGAGTTACTGTTTATAGGGTACAGAGGTTTAATATGGTAAAAGGAAAAAGTTCTGGAAATGGATAGTGTGATGGTTACACAACACTAAATTGCGCACGTAGAAATAGTTAATGATAAGTCTTATATTAGATATATATAAAGTGTCCTGGTAGTCTTACACTCTATAAATACACACTTTTTTCATGGCCTCTTTCCTGCCATGCAGACCCCCAGAGGTGAATCTCCCTATTTATTCAAGTGTGCATCACTCGCTGTCCTCTGTGCTGTGTCCCACATGCAGTGCCCACAGCCTCATATAGCCGGTGACTTCAGAGCAAGGGCACAGCTCAAAAGTCTTCCCTGAGGCTCCGTCTCTTCTTATGTCCCTGCAGCCTAGGCTTCACTTCAACTGGCAGCTCGATTTAGCCGAATTCAGGACAGTTCACCAGCGCTCTTTCTCCACATTTGCTGGTCTCACCCCAGGTGGAGTCAGGCAGGGCCTGTCACCAGAGAAGCCAGAGCAGAGAAGGGAGCAGTCTGAGCTGCTCCTCCCTCATCCAAGGGGCTTCCTCCTCTCATTTGAGGGAAAAACGTGAGCTTGTTTCAAAGCCTCAGAGTAGGTAAAAGGAAACAAAGACGTGGCAGAAAGGGATGTGTTGGTGACAGCGAGAAGCAACGTGACTTTGAGGACTCTCCTTCTTGTCCCTCTATGAAGCCTCTTCCACCACATAGGGCTCAGGGCTGAAAAAGCCCCCTCCCTACCCTTGTCAGACTGGACACAAGGTCAGCTATGAGAAAACAGGAAAACAAGGAGAAGAGAGTCTGTAGAGACAATTTAGGAGGGTTCAAAAGGAGAATTTAGGATTTGCTTCTGCCCATGGGACACAGGCTGTGAATAAAAATGTTTTCCTGACTCTTCTCTGAAAGCCAGATAGACTCCACCTAAAACCCTATTGCCAATGATGCAGGGATCCACTTACCCACGACTGTGATCCTCCTGAATGTGGAACGTTCCCTGCCAGTGGCTGAGTTACGAGCAGAGCAACCATAGAGCCCACTATGCTCTGTAGTAATTTGGGGGATTGAGAGCTTTTGTCCTGATTGCAGAAACTTCCCATTAATCGTCCAAGAATACTCTGCCGGTGGGTTAGAGTCCACGAAGCAGGACAATTCGAGAGTATTTCCAGAATGGTAAAAGTTAAATGGAGAGAAAATCCTGGGGACTTGTGGACCATCTGGAATAAAGAGAATAAAGCCACAGGAGATGTCATCCTAGGGAAGGGGATGCTCCTTGTCTCTTAAAGGAACACAGTGTCCCTCTGAGTCAAGACACACCCTCAAGGCCCAGCCAAACCCCTTCTGTGTTCACTGAAATGAGGCCTGAGGTATTCACCAGTTCCTGCCATCACAGGTTGTAGACCCCAAGTCTCCCATGAAAAGAGCAGCCCCTCCCCTTCTATTCTTGGTTAAGGCTGTGCCTACCCAGGTTTTCCCAGGGCAGGGAGTCATGGCCTGCTTGGGTGTCCAGAAATAAAAGTGTCTGTATTTGGACTTGAGAGAGACTGAGATGCGTGGCCTCTGGTTGTTTGGATTTTAGCTGGTTGCCTGGCCCACAGAGGAACCAAAGATACAAAGGACATCCAGGGTGACTGGGTCACTGCAGATGCTACCAACTCGATCCCATATTTCACATTCATAGGGTCCTGTGTCATTTCTTGTGACATTGGCTAGAATGAGGATCCTGTTTTTACCGGGTTGCTTTAGCCTGGGACTGATTGGGAGGCTCTGACCATTTACCCTCCACAAGTAGGTGTAGCCCTGAGTCTTAGGTTCACAAGTTAAGGCTACAACATTCTTATTTTCCATGAGGTTGAAGTTGTTGCTGGTGATGTAGGGCTTGGGCATCTCCGCTGTGTGGATAACAGAGAAGTTTGTCCTGTGTGGCACCTTTGATTCCTCCACAGGCATCCTTCAATCAGAGTTGGCATCTCCCACTTCTCAGCCCACCCGAGTCCTTGAAAACCAATAGCTGGTGTGTGTGTCACAAGACAGATGCATGATGATCTAAGGGCTCAAAGACTGTGAGGCCGCCTGCTCTGTCTTAGGGAAGCACAGACTTTCTCAAGTGTGAATTGATCAGCAGTGTTGGGTCATGGACAGACACGTGAGTGGGAGTCACAGCCCCTGGTACCCCTCCCAGTCCCTCTCTAATGAACTGACTGGCTGGCTCACCTTGGGTTCCTTACCTGGAATGTGTAACTGCTGGGCCCCTTCCAAATTCCATCCTACTTTGCCCCCCTAGATGTGATTTCTCTGTAGCTTCCATTTCCAAGGACATTCTAGAGATGAGTAATAATGGGGACATCCCATTGTCCTGAAACCCTGAAGATACTGAGCAGCCTGGCCTGAGACTGGATGTTTCAGCAGAGAGAAGACAGGGGAGACCAGAGTCAAGCCTGGAGGTCAGTTCATTCATCAGGCAGTGGAGGCACAAGGTGGGGCAGTTTTTTTGCAGGTGTTTCATGATGACTTACTTGAGCCAGTGACCTCCAAAGACAGAGCAGAGTGCAAGGAATGAGCTAGAAAGAGTGAAGGGGACAGGCAAGAGCTGGTGTCTTTGGAACAGAACCATATTCCGTGTTCTGGGTCCTTTAAGTTTCCTCTCCTTCTGCAGAGGGCAGGTGAGGACTATGTGGATCTTTCCAGAAATACATGTGGATATTTGCAAATGCATAACTGACTGGTGGAAAGGGTGGGAATGAACTGCTGGAAATCTGGTCCTCATGGACCATGTGTGTTTGATGGATATGAGACAAATTTGGGGACAATTTTTGCAAATATTTTCTTTCATGGGACCCTCTACTCTCTGATTCCATGGGTTTGACTACTCTAGGGACCTCATGTAAGTGGATTCCAGAGTGAATCTGAGAAGAGACTGCTGGTTGCCAGGAGCTGGGAGTGGGGAGAATCAGAAGTTGTTCATGTGTGTGCAGTTTCAGTTATGCCAGATGCGGAGGTTCTAGAGATCTGCTATACAGCTCAATGCCTATAGTTCACACAGACTCAGTATTTCTTATGCATAAGATTTAGGATAAAAAGTGTTTTGGATTTCTGAAATTTTTTCATTCTGAACTATTTGTCATATACTTACTGGTTTAGCATCCCAAATCTGAAAGATTCAAAATCTAAAATGCTCCAGTGAGCATTTCTTTTCAGCATCAGATTCGTACGTCAAAGTGGGAGATGATAGGCCAAATACATTCTTGCCCCCCCCCCTTTTTTTTTCTCTCACCACGTTTCCAGCTTGGTGATTAGTTTTTGGTCAATTCCATACTGGCCATGCTGTGCTTGTATATTGTTGAAGGCTTTGGGATGTGAGAGAGGCTGATTGCTATTTTCTATGTCATGAAAATTTTTCACCTTTTCATGGTTGCATCTTTTTCTCAGTGTCTCTGTTGTGGCAGTCATTAATAAGTGCCTGTCAGGTCAGATTTAATACAGATTTTTGTAATTCTGCAAAAAATGTTACTGGGATTCTGGTAGTGGTTGCGTTTAATCTGCAGCTTACTTTGGTTAGCATTGTCTTCCTAACAATATTGATTCTTCCAACCCGTGAGAATGAAATGTCTTTCCATATATTGATGTCGTCTTTAGTTTCTTTCCGTAATGTTTTGGAGTGTTCAGGGTATAACCCTTTGACCCTTTTGGTTAAACTTATTCCAAAATATTTTATTTCTTTTGATGTTAATGTGAACGGAAATTCTTTTCTTAATTTCCTTTCAGATTGTTCACTGTTAGTGTATAGTCTAAAGAATGAACTAGAAAGAGTGAAGGGGACAGGCAAAAGCTGTTGGTTTTGGAGCAGAAACTTATTCCCTGTCCTGGGTTTTTGATTTTCCCTCTCTCTTAGCAGAGGGCAGGTGGCTCTTCCCTGACAGCCAGATAGACTTCACTGGAAAACATGCTGCAAAAGCTCCAGGGATCCACTTACCAGGGACTATGATCCTCTTGATTATGTGATTTGTTTCACAAGTGGCTGAGTAATGGGTGAAACAGACATAGACCCCTGTATATGTTTTAGTGATTTGGGGGATAAAGAACACTTGTGCTGATTGCTGGAACTTCCCATCAATCAGGGAAGAAAGCTCTGCCAGTGGGTGAGAGTCTGTGAGGCAGGATAGCTTGAGGACTCCCCCTGTGTGCTAATAGGCATATGAAGAAGAAATGGTGGGGGCGTCCAGGCCATCTGGAGCAAAGAGAATAAAGTCACAGCTGATGTTGTCAGAGGGAAGGGAAAATCCTGGTCTGTGGAAGGGCCACAGTGACCCTGTGAGCTAAGTCACAACACTGAAGTCCCAGCCAAATCCCTGCTGTGTTCACTGATCTGGAGCCTGAGACATTCACCTGTTTCTCCCATCATAAGCTGTGGACCCTGAGTCTCCCATGACAGGAGCATCCTCTTCTCTCCCATTGTTGATCAAACCTAAGTCTACCCTTAGTAGTCATTGTCAGCTTTGATGTCCAGTGGTAAAGGTCTCTGTACTTGCACCTGAGAGGGACTGGGAGGCCTGGCCTCTGGCCATGTGTATTTGGGATGGCAGCCTGGCTCACAAAGGAACAGAAGATACTCACAGATGAGATTCAGGGTGACTGGGTCACTGCGGCTGGAACTCACTGGGTTCTTCATTTCACATTCATAGGGTCCTGCAATATCCTTTGTGACACCATATAGAATGAGGATCCTGTTGTTTTCGGACAGCTGCCACGGGCGACTGATAGGGAGGCTCTGACCATTTATCCACCACAGGTAGCTTACATCCTGAGTGTCAGGATCACAGGATAAGATCACAGTCTCCGTGCCCTCCCTGGGGTTTAAGTTGCTGCTGGAGATGTAGGGCTTGGGAGTCTCCACTGTGCAGATAACAGAGAGAAGATTGTCCTGTGTGGCACCTTTGATTCCTCCAAAGATATCTTTCTATCAGAGATGGCATTTCCCACTTCTCAGCCCACCCAAGTCCTTAAAAGCCCATGGCAGATGTGTGTGTTACAAGACAGATGCATAGCAATCTGCGGGCTCAGAGACTGAGGCTGCCTTCTGTATGTGGGAGAAGCACAGATGTTCTCAAGTGTGAATTGAGCAGCAGCATTGGGTCATGGAAAGACACGGGACCAGCAGTCACAGTCCCTGGTGCCTCTCTGAGTCCTTCCCTCTCTAACTGCCTGCCTGGCCCACCATGTGGTCCTCACCGGGAGCATACAGTGCTGGAATCTTCTTAGTTTCAGTTTTCTTTGCCCCCCAAGGTATGTTTTATCTGCAGCTTCCCTTTCAAGGACATCCTAGAGATGGATGATGGTACTTCCCATTGTCCTTAAACCCTTTGTGTACTGGGAAGCCTGGCCTGGACTGCATACTTCAGCATAAATAACACAGGGGAGACCAGAGTCAAGCCTGGGGGTCAGGTCAGTCATCAGGCAGTGGCGCCACAAGGTGGGGCAGTTTTCCCAGCTGTCTCATAGTGACTGACTTGAGCCAGTGACCTCTAAAGATAGAGCAGAGTCCAAGGAATGACCTACAAAGAGTGAAGGGGACAAGAAAGAGCTGATAGCTTTGTACCAAGACCATGTTCCTTGTTCTGTGTTCATGATGTTCCCTTCCCCCTGTAGAGGACAGGTGATGACCATGTGGATCTTTCTAGAAATACATGTGGATGTTTGCAAATTCAGAACTGACTGGTGGAAAGGGCGAACATGAACTGATGATGGAAGTCTGGCCCTCACGCACCATTTGTGTTTGGTGGCTATTAGACCAATATTTGGGAAGAAGTCTTGCAGATACTTTCTCTCATTAGACATTCTACTCTCTGATTCTATGAGTTTCACTACTCTACACATCTCATCTCAGTGGATTCCAGAATGAATCAGAGAGTAGAATAGTGGTTTCCAGGAGCTGGATTTGGGAGAATAGGACATTGTTCCGGGGGTGTGCGCTTTCAGTTATGCAGGATGAGGAGGATCTAGAGATCTCCTGTACAGTTTCATACCTGTAGTTCATGCAGACAAAGTGTTCCTTATGCAGAAAGCTTAAAACCAGGTGTTTCGGATTTCTAACTTTTTTTTTTTTATCTTGGAATATTTGCAGTAGATGTACTGGGTTAGCATCCCAAATCTGAAAAATTTAAAATCCAAAATGCTCCAGAGAGCACTTCTTTTTAGCATCACATCAGTGGTCAGAAGTGTTGGATTTGGGAGCATTTCAGGTTTTGAATTTCCGGTTTCGGGATGCTCAATTTGTAATACTGTAATTTTCCCGTAATAAGTTGTCAGGAATTTAGACATCATGTTATGTTCTTTCCCTAGTAACAAAACCAAAAAATATTTGGAGGAGACGTTAAAATGTTGTCATAAGTGGAAATTTTTACTGATGGTCCAAACATCTAATATCAATTGCTATTAGTAGTATGTCTCATGATACCCAATTAAGGTTTAGGTGTGGGGTGAATTCCAGCAGGATCATATTATGCTCAAAGAAAGATGCCAAACCTGATTTGAAATTAGCAAGTCCTCCAGAAGTCTCTAGGAAGTGACTGGAGAATATGAGCTTCATGGTAGGTTGAGGATGGAGTTACGAGTGAAATGGGTGAAATCAGCCCGGGGGCTTTGGAGACTGCTGGTCTGTCCAGCCTCTGACACCTTGGTGAGTCAGTGCAAAGATTACAACAGTGACAGCAAACTAGCATGGCTGACTCCATCTGGCATCTAGTCTCAGGCTGGCTGTCCTCACTCATTCCTGGACATAGGCCAGGCTAACCATGGAAGGAATTTAGTTTATGGTTTAACTCTGAAGAAACAATGATAATAGTTCCTCCACAACACTAATACCCTTATTTTGCCTAGGGATTGCTTTTTTAAATCGGATGAAAAACCATGAGACTAAGATTATTGGAGGGCAGTGAATTCTGCTAAAATGTAGGCACAGTTTCTATAACCCCTTACTGCTCAAATATCATTTGGCCAGACCGTACAGAACTTGTAACTAATTGCTGCTATAGATAACATCACTATTGTAGAACCTGAGATTGGTCTTTTGAGATGTTTCTCATTCTTTGCATTCTGGCAGCCGGCTGATCTCATCCATACCCATGACTAATGGCTCAGTCAAGCACTGGTCCCCACCTAGAGTCAGATTCAAGCACAAACAGATCATTTCCTTCCGCCCACATGATTCCATCCCCAAACAATCAGCAGTACCCAATTTTTAGTCCTGTGCCCCTGAAACTCTCCTTGAAAATCTCTAACCCCTGATCCACTAGGGAGGCTGATTTGAATAATAATAAACCTCCATACTCCTGTTTGGCAGAGTTGGAGTCATTAAAATTTTTCTTTACTGCAAATCACCATCGGGATCAATTGGTTTTGTTTGTGCAGGAGGCCAGAAAAACTTGTCTGGGAATTGTAAGAGTGGATGGAGGAGCTGCCTATCCCTGTCCCACGGTCTTGTCCACAGAACAGCCTCACAAAGGGAAACAGCCCTGGATGGGGATACAGTGGAAGCTTATTCTCTTAGTGACCTGGGGACATTGGCTCGAGATGAAGCCTGGCAGGAGTGGCAACTCCAGGTGATTTCTGTGTCTTTCCTATTTCCTGGGAGGTGGACCAGGCCACAGTGCTAGCAGGAAGGGAACAGAACAGTCAGCCTACTTAGAGGGAGTGTCTGGGGAAGGCCTAGGGGTGGAGGAAGAAGCTGTGCAGGGCAGGGCTTGCCAGTTAGAATAAAGTGGGAGGAATTTGAGGGACACAGAGAAGCAGAGAGAGGCAGAGGCAGCATGGCAGTGAACAGTGGGGCCTACAGTGACTTCAGAGACCCCAGGGACCAGGTGCCCCCATTTTCACAGTCCAGGACCAGGGAGCCCTCAAAACCCTCTAGTGGCCAAAGAGCTTCAGAGTTACACATGAGGTGGGGTGGCTTTAGGGACAAGAGGTAGTGGGGGGATGAAACATGGGTGTCCGCCTCTGACGGACAAGGGACAGGTGTGGCTAGAACTTCCTAGGATTCTGCATTCAAGATCCAGTCTCTAAAGAGGTTATGGATCATTCATTTCTTCATTCAATTCCTTCATTTGTTATGTAAGAGCACCTGAGGGTGTGTCTCTCACTGGGTATGTGCTGGTGCAGGGTGTGAGTGGGAAAACAAACAAGGTCCTCTCTTTTATCCTGTCATGCCAGTGACATGGACACTTTGGGAAACAGGATTTCAGGTTCAGTGATGGGGGTTAAGATCTGAGGGGGAGGCCTGGACATTTTTTGCACTGACTCTGACAGTTGAGGCAGGTGATTTAGTTCTGGAGAACAGACTAATCAGCTGACCATTTGCTCTCACTCCTCTGAGGTTTGGATGCC